AAGGGTTGGGGTGTCCGGCTATGGTGTATGGGTGTAGGTGATGGAGGTTGAAGAAGGGTTGGGGTGTCCGGCTATGGTGGATGGGTGTAGGTGATGGCTCGCTTGTCCCGTGGCCCGCGACCGATCCTATTCTACCGCCCAACTCCCTTCCCCTATATGTCTTTCTCGTAGGTCGTTGGTCTTGGCCGCACGTGCCCCCTTGCAATAGTGAAGACACCCTCTTCAGAACCGTAGAATTTCCAAGAGAGGATGCAACAAGAAGTGACCCGTCGATACTTACTCAAGCATTCAGAGCAGCAGAACGGTAGTGTGCACAGCACCCTACCCATGCACGTGGAACAACAAACTGACAATGTGACTGGCACCCTACCCATGCACATAGAACAGCAAACTGACAACGTGAACAACACCCTACCCGTGCACAAAGAACAACAAACTGACAACGTGAACAACACCCCACCCCTGCACATAGTTCAGCAAACAGACAATGTGAACAGCACCCTTCCTGTGCACATAGAACAGCAACCTGACAATGTGAACAACATCCTACCCGCGCACATAGAACAGTAAACTGACAATGTGAACAACATCCTACCCCCGCACCTAGTACAGCAAACGGACAATGTGAACATCATCCTACTCATGCACCTAATACAGCAAACAAACAATGTGAATAGCATCCTACCCATGCACCTAGTACAGCAAACAGACAATGTGAACAGCACCCTGCCTATGCACCTAGAACAACAAACTGACAATGCGAACAACACCCTACCCGTGCACATAGAACAACAAACTGACAACGTGAACAGCACCCTGCCTATGCACCTAACACAACAAACAGACAATGTGCACATCATCCTACCCATGCACCTAGTACAGCAAATAGACAATGTGAACAGCACCCTACCCCTGCACCTAGTACAGCAAACAGACAATGTGAACAGCACCCTACACCCGCACCTAGTACAGCAAACAGACAATGTGAACAGCACCCTACCCCTGCACCTAGTACAGCAAACAGACAATGTGAACAGCACCCTACCCCCGCACCTAGTACAGCAAACAGACAATGTGAACAGCACCCTACCCCTGCACCTAGTACAGCAAACGGACAATGTGAACAGCATCCTACTCATGCACCTAACACAGCAAACAGACAATGTGCACAGCATCCTACCCATGCACCTAGTACAGCAAACAGACAATATGAACAGCACCCTGCCTATGCACCTAGAACAACAAACTGACAATGCGAACAACACCCTACCCGTGCACATAGAACAACAAACTGACAATGTGAACAGCACCCTGCCTATGCATCTAACACAGCAAACAGACAATGTGCACAACATCCTACCCATGCACCTAGTACAACAAACAGACAATGTGAACAGCACCCTACCCCTGCACCTAGTACAGCAAACAGACAATGTGAACATCACCCTACCCCCGCACCTAGTACAGCAAACAGACAATGTGAACAGCACCCTACCCCTGCACCTAGTACAGCAAACGGACATTGTGAACAGCATCCTACTCATGCACCTAATACAGCAAGCAGACAATGTGAACAGCATCCTACCCATGCACCTAGTACAGCAAACAGACAATGTGAACAGCACCATGCCTAAGCACCTAGAACAACAAACTGACAATGCGAACAGCACCCTACCCGTGCACATAGAACAACAAACTGACAATGTGAACAGCACCCTGCCTATGCACCTAACACATCAAACAGACAATGTGCACAGCATCCTACCCATGCACCTAGTACAGCAAACAGACAATGTGAACAACACCCTACCCTTGCACCTAGTGCAGTAAACGGACAGTGTGAACAGCATCCTACTTATGCACCTAATACAACAAACAGACAATGTGAACAACATCCTACCCTAGGGGAATGCTCCCCGAGGTACCCCGGGATGAAGCGCCCTATACACACTCGTCAGGGACAGTCATAAGGATAAGATTTGGAATATCCTATGAAGAGGACACATCCCCGGAGTATCCCGAAGTGAAGTGTCACTCATACATTCGTCAAGGTTGGTGAATACTCAAGATGGAGAGTGTCTAATCTACCGGAAAGTTCACGGAAGCAACCCAAGGTAAATCGCATCCCATACATTCATCAAGATAAGAGAAAACTCAAAATTGAAGCATCTAATCTACCTGAAAGTTCACGGCAGTAACCCAAGGTAGATCGCAACCCATGCATTCATCAAGATTAGTGAAAACTCAAGATTGAAAGCATCTAATCAAGGGGAAACATCACGGAAGTTTCACAAGGTGAATCGCAACAGGTACAAGCACCCAAAACATTGAAAACTCAGGATTGAAAGCATCTACCCAAGGGGAAACATCACGGAAGTATCACCAAGTAAATCGCAACATGTACAAGCACCTACATCAGTGAAAATTCAAGCTTGGAAACATCTACTCAAGGGGAAACATCACGGAAGTATCACCAAGTGAATCGCAA